GCTTATAACCATCTGTTGCTCTTTCTGCAAAATGATTAGCCTCTTCGTCCAAAAGGAAAATTCTGCTACAACACAGCATCTTATTTTTTGGCCCTGCTACTGCCTAATTCAACTAACTTTTCCCTTTTACCCATTTTGCAAGTCTCCTAACCATTGCCCATCTTTAATTTTTCTTTTTTTTTCAATTACAAGGTTGCTGTGCTTGTTTCCACGCAGCAGAAACAAGTTCTTCCTCGACACTGAAGGCATCTGTGAAAACGCCAGTAAGACCGTCTACTTACATACATTTACAGGGTGCTACTAAGTAAATGTAAATCAGCTCACCTGCCTCAGTGAAAACCTTGGTTAAGGTGCTTTAGCTTCAATGTAAGTTTTGTTACAAAAACCAGGACATGTCAGTCCAAGGAAATTTTAGCTTCACAGCTTAAAGATCTTCAAAGAGGGACAAGGGGAAGACAACTTTCGGGGAAGACAGCTTTTGGGACACTCCTTGCTCTGATTTCTTCCCATTCCAAGGAACAGGATAAAACTGGAGACACATTTCTATTTTTTGAAGTCAAGTGTCACATGGCAGAGGTATGATTTGCCCCTCAATATCATGCATGGATTTGGGAGAGCATGTGTCAAAAAGGTAGCAAATTAGATAGCAGTGTGGCAAGAGGGGGACTTCCACTTCACTTACCATTTGAAGGACACCAAAATAGGACATCAGGTATCCAGACTCCACTGTTTCCAAGCCAAAGAAATCCATAGAGATGATGGAAAACATAATCAAGAACAAACCTAGAGGGAGGGTTAATGAAAAGCATACATCAATATACTTGCACTGCATATAGTGGTCAATACCCTGCTCCCAGTCACCTCCAGTATGAGTCAGTAGCTCTCCCTGGGGTTACCGTCACTGGATATAAACATGAGCAGAATCCTATTCAAAGTCAGTGTAGTAATTTAATCTTTAAATGTTAACTTTTTTATCCCCCTTACTTTCATCTTTAAAACAATGTGACTATGTAGGCTGTAGATTCAGCTGTTTATTATAAACTGGTAAATATTTTTATCACCGAAGCCAAACTAACCATTAAGGCAGCAAGAAAACATTTGTTCAGACAAGACTGTAACCATAAAAATAATCTGATTGGATTCCTCGCCCCTTTTGCCTAACTTTAGATTTTCACCATGGGGAACACTGCCTGGGAAACAACCTGGTGACATCAGCCTAAATACAGCGTTTCACTGCACACCTCAGCAGTGACGTTGGTGGCATGTGAAATCTCTCACTTTCCCAGACCGATAGCGGTGTCAACACAAGCAGTGGGGAAAGTATGGACAGAAAGAGCACAGGCTGGGTCTGCTTTTCAATTAAGGCAATTTCTGGAAAACATAATGGCAAATGCCCGCTCACTTAGTCTCACATGAGAATACAATGGTGTGCATTTCCCCCAATGCCAAACACACACAAATACAGACACACGCACACACACTCCCATCTTACACAAAGAGCCATCAAATTAAAAATATTATGGTAAAACATTGTTCTCAAAGCGCTGGTATGGGGTAGGAGGCTGCTGCCTCCCCTAATGTCTTGTGCCCCTCAGGTGGACCAATACAGTAGGAAACGGGAGCTCTCTACGTGTGGACATCCCTACAACGTGCCCGTCGGAGAGCACTGATCCTGCTGGGGAGAGGAGAAGAGAGCAGATGACCCTTAGTGGTTCTCCCCTTCCTCAAAGGATCTTCCGAGGTACAAAGGCTGGGTAAAAAGGGAGCTTCTTCTTTCCTGAAGAAAACAGAGCCCAGCAGGCAACGCGTGAGGACTGAGAAGACAGCTCGTGGCCTAGCAAGGTGAGTCACTAGCCCCGCGGCATGGGAAGGATTTGCTGGCATTTCCCGGAAGCGTGAGGAGGGCGATCCCAAATTGCTGACTAAAACGCCGTGGGGGACTCGCACCCTAACAAACCAGCGCAACTCCACCTCATCCAGCAGACCGGCGGCACTGCTACCAGTGGAACACCTGCAGCAACGAGGACCTCCCTCCAAGCACCCTAAGCCTTTTCCTGGAGGGACCACCACCCTCCCACCCTAGGACCTGCCACAAAGCCTTCCGGAACCCCACTGGAGACACCTGCTCCCCCTTAATGGGGATAGCTGCACCCCAGCTGGCCCCATGGCACTGGGGGAGAGGGACGGGGGCCAGGACAGGCACCCTGCTCTGCTACTCTCTGGATATTTGGAGAAGGTGCCGGGGAGCTGGGCTGGTGAAGATTTACGGCTTCACCACACCCCTCTGCAGAGAGCACCCCATCGTTATCCAGTTACTTTGAAATCGCTCTTAGCTCAAGCCAGCTTAAAGTAACATGCAAATAACAGTTATTTACCCACAACATCCAAACCAGGCAACAGAGCCGCACATGTTTATAAAGGGCGCGTGTGAAGAAATGAAAGAAAAACCACACTTCGTCTCGCTCGCAGGAAGATCGGATCGAAGCGGGCGCTCAGCCTCCATCCTGCTGCCCCGCTGCAGGTACCACCTGGGAGGGGTTCGACCTTCCTACATACCTGACGCTTCTTCCTGGTACCGCGCGCCAGCTTCAACAGCTCCTCTCCTTTTTGAAGTCCCTCACCAAGTTAAGGCAGATTTGGACCTTTCTCCAAAGAAGCTGATTTCTTTCGGAGCAGGAGGGTAGGCTGTGCTCTTTAATTAGCGTTACACGTTGCGCGGCTTCGCCTGGAGATGCAAAGGTCTCTTTCTTTAGATGGGTGTCATCTCCCCCGGCCTGCAGGGTCACTTAAGCTACCCAGGCAAGGGAGACCACCCTGCTCCCTCTGCTTTCAGCAGCTAAGGGGGTCTCTCCCACCGGCAACACGTTTCTTGGTGAAACCCACAGGCTGAGCCCTAGATTGAACTCAAAAGGTTTTCTGAACCTTCACCTGAACATGCATAAGCATTTCTCACAGAGACCTCGGCAGGTCCCACCTGGGTAGGCTGCGGGTTGGCCCAGCACAGCCATGTGAGTAACCTACCCCTGGGGAGGGCTCTTCTGGGGACACCAAAACCCCGCACAAAAGCTGCTGGAATAAGCTTCAATCCACAGTGAGGCTCAGACTTTCAACAGGAGAAAAACGGAAAATAGCAAAAAACATCTGCAAAACCCTCGCCTTTTTTTTTTGGGGGGGGTGTCTAAATAAGGGATGAACTCCTTAGAAAACCTGGTACCAGAGGGATAAGTAACTAAGGTTATGCAGCGGAAGGCAGGTAAATGGTTTGCGAGATACAAATAAAGATGAGGACAAGCACCAAGGAGACACGGGAGTGCAAACTGTATTTTCCAAAAAAAAAGAAACGACGGCTCCAAACGCAGCCCCTGGCTTTGGCAGGGCCAGCTGGGCAATCCTGCCCGAGAGCTGGTGGGAAGAGGCGCGCGTGGCCCCCGGGAGCCCGCCTCAGCCCTCCTACGCCGGGTTGCAAACGCGATGGGACGCAGAGCCCCAGGGCCCACTGCAAAATCCTGCTCCGCGTGTGAAAGAACGTCCCTTTAAAAACGGGATGGGGGTGCCAAAGCGATGGCAGCAAAACCAGGTTTTCCAAAGGGATTAGGCAGCCGAAGATTCATACAAGCATCAGTATTTTCAAGGCCCGGGTGATTTCTGGTCAGTAAGAGGTATGTTTGACGTTTTTATCCTCGTGTTTTCTTTTCTGCCTCTTATCTACCGCAGTGCAGCGAGACTCGCTTTCCCCAGGCCGGCCGAGGATGTAATCTGGCCGTGCGGGAGCGGTCTGCTGCCCATCCCTCCCGCGGCAGCTACGCTGCTGCCAGAGGCGCAGAGCCCGTGTCTCTGCCTTTATGCAACACCGGGAGGAGGTTCCCAGCCCCGCAGCCCTCTCGGGGAGGCTCTTTCGCTCTCAAACAAGCTAATTTTAGACAACAATGAGATCCATAAGGAACAGAAGTTTTTTTCTTCTGTGTATATCACAAACTTGTTTACAAAGTAAATAGAGAACGGTCTGTAATTTGGGCGATCTAATTAATTGTACAGTTGCAGCAGGGAGATGAAAGGTAAGTGAGCTCATGCTCAGCCTCCAGCTGTGAGCTGCAGAGGAGTAGGCGATGGCCAAAGCCCCTTCCGGCCGCCATCGTACGGTCAGTAACCCGAAGAGAGACCTGCAAGGGATTTTGATCACTCTCCACTGTAGCGCGAGCACTACACTTGTGGCGGGAGTGCCTCAGACGAGCCCATTCCAGCTCCCACTGAAATACTCCCAGCCATTTCACTGACAGACTGTCAGCCCATGTCCTGTCTTAACTCTCAGCTTCACTGCCTCCATCCTCTTTGCCTAGAAGTTGCCTTGCAGTTTTGGGCGGGAGATGTTGATTTGGGTTGGGTGCACGTTTTTGCTGTGCAGCAGTGAAAGAACACCTTCTGCAACAGGGAGGAATTTGGATTTCAGCAGGGATGACTAAAACAAAGCGCATCTCACCTGGCCTTTGGAAAAAGGAGAGCGCACAGGAAATTACCGTGCAGACTGCATATGGATGCGGTCTCGGGATGGCATTTTTAAACAGAAAAACGAATCATAGAATCATAGGATCGTTAAGGTTGGAAAGGACCTCTAAGATCGTCAAGTCCAACTGTCAGCCCAACACCACCATGCCCACTAGATGAGCCAGAATCAGCAAAGAAAACCCTCTTAAAACATCACTTGACTATCTCACTCTGTGAAACGCTGTCATTTTATAAGCGCTTTTAAAAGTACAATTTTAAAAGTTTAGTTTCAGAAGGACCTAAAAAGTGCACTATTAGGGCAATCCATCGAGACTGTATCCTGCCTCCAGTGGTGGTGATAGGACCAACTGGCATTACTGATCTCAGCCAATGCCAACTCCACATAAAAAGAAAAAAACCACAGAAGTCCTTTACTTCCCTGCATGTTATTCTACAGCTCCAGTTGGACTTGTTCCCCCAGAGCCTTAGCAAGGAATAACAGGCAAACCTGGCCAAGCCCAGAAATACCATCTCCTTCTGATTCAGCCACTCTCCACAGCCAAATCTACTACTTCCACTTGTAAATTGAATTTACAGTTTACAAATTAGAATTTAATTTGTAAATTGTTTCATGTTATTTAGACTTCAAGGGCTTCTCCAGACACAGATGAATTAGAAAAAGATGCAAAGTATAAAAGCTAAGGTACCTTAAATCCTCTTTTAGGATCCTCGTTCGGAAGGGAATTGCCCTAGTTTATTCAGATGCATGATGTGCACAAAATCCAATCCTTGAAACTGTAGTCAAGAGAAACTGCACTTTTAGGTTTGACTGGGAAAGAGCTGTGAAGGCTCTCTGTGTGGAAGGGCAGAGAACATCACCCTTTCTGTACAACACCGCTAACAAGGCTGATGTGCTGGCTTGTCTCCAGACAAGCGGTGGGGGAAAAAAGTTAGAGGGTAGGCAAAATTAAAAATTGTGATCAAGGATACACATAACCAGGCAAATCGTGAGACACGGACTATGCCAGAACAACAACCGACTCAAAGGGAGCAGGGAAACAGGCAGGTTTGGGATGGGTTTGAGGTAGTAGCATGTTCCTACCACGACACAAAAAAACGAGCAGACTATATAAAGAAGAGAAGAACAAACACCACCATCAACATGCAAGGGAAGAAACATGCCGTGGTTTCCCTGCATGCAGATGACAGAGCAGCCACAGCCTCTTGACAAGCAATAGTTTTTAGTTGTTGGGAAAAAGGTTAGGGTACACATACCCCCTAAAATCATTAAGTAAAATCAGGAAGGACCTTGGTGTTTCTGGAAGAGTACAAATGATTTCCCTCTGCTCTGAAGAGCCTAAATAGAAATGACAGACAAGAGGAAAAAAACATTTACAGCCAGGGGGATGGGGTAGAGAGATTAAGTGATTTGCCAAAAGGTGCAGAAGCAGCCTGTGGCAAGTAGTCTGTTTTACATTAAGTCCCAGGTTTTTGACCCTTTGTAGCTGAGGCGTTCAAAAGCAGCCAGCATCAAGTTAGGATCTGAATTCGCAGGGCTCCGTGATCAAATGCAATGTGCTTTCAGTAACTTGAGACAAGCCTGGTCTACAGTGTATGTCATCTTATTTTAAATACATCAGCAATCACAGGTAATGGGTGAGATTTACCTATGGGAAGTCCAGCAAAGACCTTGACTATGAAAACTTCCATTACTCCCGGAAACTTCATCAGGCGTAGGATTTCTCTGATGCTAAACATGCTGCCAGACTGCGATGTGCCTACAGAAGATGACATATCGATTAACACTCTCTTTATACAGGATAGAGGCAGGAAGCAAGAGACTCTGAGACCGTCTGCTCAGGTCCACCACTGCCTTTCCAGAAAGGTGGGTCTCTGAAGCACCAGCTTTCCACCAAGAGCGGGAGGTGGTGCTGGGTCTGCATGCAGAGGACCCCTGTGAGACAGCGGGACTGCCTCCCATGCCGGGTCAAACTAAGCCCCAGCGAGGGGTCCATGTTCACCTTTTCGGAGATGTGCAGCAAGCACTGGGCTGGAAGCCTGCAATTCTGCACGGCAGAGCGGTCGGAAGGTAGGGAATAATATTCTTCCACAAGCACAGCTTAGGCGTTAAAGTGTCAGCATTTCAAGGTTGGCACCTTTTTGCCCTTAAATGCAACCCCTTTAGCAGAGTCCTTACAGCATGTCAGTCCCCTGTCCCTATTCATGTGCTATTTATCAGAAACGCTAAATACTTACTGTGCTCCGTCACACGATGGTCTGCCTTTGGTTTAGCCTGCAAAGGGATCCAAACCGTTGCTATCATGGTATTTATGAGATTTCCCACCAGCCCGACATACATAGGAACAAAAATGCTGCAAACAGAAAAAATATAGGTAAGTGGATAAATAGCATAAGCAAGACATTTATGCCCCTGTCCTGGAACGGCTTAGGCACCTGGATGAAAAACAATCCCCTTGAAGTCGCTGTACATAAGGCTATAAAAGAGCTCACATGTCTTCATGGGGGCTTTGGACATGACCATGGTTTGAAATTTCACCAAAAGGTATCTATTGCCATCAAGATAGTTTATAATTTGTATTAATAATAGGGTATAATGCAACGCTTTTAAATCTGTAAGTGTCAGGGGAAAAGAGCCCCTCTTGGTTTAATGAAGCTTAGAAATCTTCCCACGGAAAGCACAGCAACTGCTTGTTAGGATCCGTCTAATCCCCCATCTAATCCCCAGTTTCATTCATCTAAGTATCATTTCATTCCTTGAAATTTCTCAGCAAAATCAAATGAACTTAAGGTAAGTGAAGAAAGTATTCAAGATTACTAGGGATGGTAGAATACAGCCCAGTCTACTACCACAACTGAAACCACCAGAGGTGCAATGCCACTTGAAAAAGGAGCTGCTAAAAATAACAAACGTGATTTACAAAGCCTTCTGAGGAGGTGAGCAAACAGCACTTTGACTGATGCACCTACTTTTCTCTAAAGGTGCCCAAAACCAAATCAACACGCCTTCAACTGCCCATCAGACCCCCAAACGTTCGAACTTTAACAGAAGTGGGGCCACATCCTTAGATGTAGGCCCAGTGAACAGCAATTATTAACAGTAGTTTTACAATGATAAAAAGGAACAATCACAGCTTATGTAAAAAACGCAAACACAAACCACATAAAAGTCAACAGAGCCAATAATAAGTCCTCAATTATCACTGTTGTCTTAAAAGAGAAGATTAGGAAATGACTCCTCCTAGACTTCAAGGGCATCTGGGAAGATTTCAGATTCCGAAGGACTTTAACTCTGCCAAACACAGATAGAGCAAAGTCCAGGCCTGGGAGACTGAAACTCAGGAGGGTCAAGCTGAAAACAAAGGGAGAAGCATGTTATGTCTGTAACAGTGAGAGCAATAATCCACTAAACCAGCTCATTAAAAGTCTTCCCCACCATGGCAACCCTGTTAGTTGAAGCGTTTCCTAAAACATGTGCTTAAAACCTACCACAGGATACAGATTTGGGGTGGGAATGCCTAGCAGAAACACAAAAGGCTGGTGTCTTGGAGGGGACAAGACTAAGTGACCATTGTGGTCTCTTTGGGGCATCGAAATTAAAGCACCTTGGACTTCAGCAAAACAAGCCCTGGATTTCACCAGAGAAGGCTTTGGAGCCATGTGAGTCAGAATCACAGAACCATTACAGAATCATTAAGGTTGGAAAAGACCTTTAAGAACAAGTCCAACCATTAACCCAACACCACCATGCACGTTAAACCATGTTCTGAAGTACCACATCTACACGTTTTTTGAACACTTCCAGAGATGGTGACTCCACCACCTCCCTGGGCAGCCTGTGCCAATGCTTGACCACTCTCTCCGGAAAGAATTTTCTCCTAATACCCAATCTAAACCTCCCCTGGTGCAACTTGAGGCCATTTCCTCTCGTACAATCACTGGTTACTCGGGAGAAGAGACCAACACCCACCTCACCACAACCCCCTCTCAGGTAGTTGTAGAGAGCGATAAGGTCTCCCCTCAGCCTCCTCTTCTCCAGACTGAACAACCCCAGTTCCCTCAGCCGCTCCTCGTCCACGCCGTCCCTGCCTCCCCAGCAACCTGTGCTGCAAAAATAGGATGCAAAAGTGAGCTGCGAGCCGCCAACCCACGTTCCCTGCAAGCCTCCTGATAAAGGACTGCTGCTTTCCTTGTCAGAGCACGGTGCATGTTTTTTGTGGAATAACCAGCAGCACTAATTGTAAAAGCCTCAAGTTTCCTCCATGCTAGTCAAAGGTGCGGTCTGAATAATTTCTGGAGTATTATTAAAGTCCCAGAGCAAGACAGTCAAGGATTGAGATGCAAATAACCGAGAAAAGCATCAAAGACCAAATACACACATATATATTTATATACACAAGTATGCCCGCTAATAGCAAGGGCAAAAATCCCAGATGAATATTTTAATTATCATTAATTATTATTAATAACAACAAAGTCAGATAATATCTTCCTGCAAATGGACTTGGTGCAGTAATTTAGACCTGCTGCCTTCCATCCGCCAAGCTGTTCCGCTAATTCCCCTGGACCACAAAATTAGTCATTTACTGGATCGTTACTTTTTACTTTTAGTGCAGCAGATTGCCACTTTCTAATTTAAAACTATCTGCCAAACAGTTCCCAATCTATTGAAATCAACTTTGTGGACCCAAACTTTTATCCAAGAATTCTGGAATTTCTACTTTGCATTGCAACATAAAGTAAATTTACTAACAAAATAGAAAGGATAAAATAACCAAAATAAGTAGGTGCAGCTGGCTTAATGTTTTTTTTTTTTGGACTTCTATATTTCAAGCTTTCATTCTGATATGGAAAAAACACATCACAAAAATTTTTGTTGGATAGAAAAACTTCCTTTGCAGTCCTACCTTTTTCTGAGGTTTTCCAGACTCCCACATGCCAACGTAAATATGGTTTACTCTTCAGATCCAAGAAGAATTACAGCAAGCAATGAGGGAAGGATCCTCCTATAAAACTAGTAAGCAAATGATGCACTACTACACCGCAAGCATATGACTGATAATTCATTGCTGTGAAAGGGAAAGAAGAACCTTAACATTTTACATATTTGAGAAAACCTGGGCTTGCCGTAATGGATTCGTGGCATTTTGTGCGGCTGGACTCTAAAGTCAGAGAAATCCAGTAAAACATAGAGCTCAAAACTATGTTTCCCAGGCAAGCCTGAAGCATTCAAAATTGCCTGAAAAGCCCTTTTCTTAGCCACAGCTTTCCGCAAGCGCTTCACCTTTCCCCACATACTAAACGTGATCATTTGTTGATGGAAAGGTGATGAAGGTACACCCCCGGGTTAGCTGCTCTGCCGTCTCGTCCTACACGGCAGGGACGAACTCTGGAATCGAGGGTAAGGCATCTATGCCCAGGAAACCACCTCTCGCTTTTTTTTTTTGCTTGTTTAAGAAAGAGGAAGTAAAACCAATGGTCACAAAACATGCCGTACCAACACAGCAGGTCATTAATCTTTTTTCTGATGTATCTTCATCTCTTTTTTTCTGATGCTTCCGTTACAACCCGTGAATCGCGGCACGACGACACCTCCCGTGCCACCCCTCCGGTACGGCATCTGTGGGACGTATCCTCCCACTCCCGCAGTGAAAGGCGACTGTTTCACAAAGCAGCAGTGCAGGGTGGCTCTCCGGAAGCCCTGACACATCATCACCTCTGATCTCTCCATGATGTTTGCTTTGGGGCTTGGGTAGGGGAGGGACTGTAGACGACGTCTTTCCCTCTTACATGAAGACATAGAAACATTTACACTGTCATGTAAAGGGACACGAGTGCTGAAACCAGTGTGCGTGATCATTATTTCTGGCAGCAGGGAAGACAGAGGTCAGCGGGTTGAGCTGACGGTATTCTTGCAATGACACTGAGCAGGAGACCAACGTGTTTACTGGGGAAACTGGTGAAGATGCAATGGTGCTGCCGGCTCCCCAGATAGAGCTGCTCCGTGTCACTGGCACCAGGGAAAACTCTACCCACACCCTTGGATGCTGCGGGGATGGGAGCTGCCGCGTGGCGGAGGCGGGTGGGAAGGAGGCGGTGGTGGCTTGGAGGAGTCCAGCAAGCACCAGGATGGGAGGGGAGGGTTTGCACCCCACAGCAGTCCTGAGGAACGGCATTTTGGCAAGGGGTACGGTGATGCTATTGCCAGCAGCAGAGAAAACAGCGGGGGGTTAGCACTGATAATCCCTCTGCTGTGCTCGCTGGACCCTTTTCTGCAAGCTAAAGAGATGGAGGGCCCAGGGCTAAGCTGTTGCTCTTATTTCTTACCGGTCTGATGAGGAACAAGCAGTACAAACCAGAACAGCGAAGCTAAAAGCGAGACACCCCGACCCCTCAGGTAGCCGAAGGCCGGGGGTAGGAATGATGGCTGGGGTGGCCGCTCCTGCTGTGCAAAACCTGGCTCATGGGCACCTGTCTTTTTTTTTTTTCTTTTTTTTTTAAGCTTTAAGCATGAAATCTCATCTCTGCTGAAATCAGTGGGAGCCCTTCTCCATTTCATTTTGCCTGTTTGGCTTATCAGGAGGAAGTTTCACCAGGAAGGGACGTGGTGGCACTATTAAGACAAATGAGGCACACTAAGCAGGTTGCTCCCACGGCCCCTTTTCCCATCCTCCTCTTCCCCTTCCTGCCCTCCCTCTCATCCCTCCTGGCTGTCCACAAACCAGCCGTGTGGAGCCAGAGCGAGCCCTGCCAAAACCAGCGGCAGATTTCCTGAGCGGGGCGGAAGAACAAAGGACACAGGCAGGATTAATACAATTAAATTAAAGAGAGCAAAAGGGCGCAGCAGCTTCAGCGGCTGAGATCATTGTGTGGCCTCTTCCAGCTTCTCGCTGACTAGTAGAGGTTAAGAGCCTTTACTGTCCTGGGCTTTATGGTCAAAATAACTTGGGTAACTTTATCTGCGTACTTCAGCGTGTAACTTATAATGCCTTTGCCTCTCTTGCATCTGGAGAAAGAGTCCCTTGCAGACTTTTGCCAGCAGCCTTCCTTGCTCTTCCCTGGGCTTTTCCACCGGCAAAGGTCCTCTCAGGCTGTCAGCTAAGACCACAGCTGCCCGCTCTTCTTCGTGTGTTTTCAGCCCTGCTGTGAAAGGAAGGAGCAAAATGCATCGCCCCGTCCTGCACGGGACGGACGTGCCCCGAGGTCCTGCTGCCAGGAGGGCGCAGAGCAGTCGCCTGCAGAGAGCAAACAGCCGAGCCCGGAGGAGGACTAGTTTTTGCTAGTTTTTGCCAACAGGAGCAGCCTCAGCTTGCCCTGACTTAAAGCTTTCAGAGAAATAATAAGAAAACAAGAG